GTGAGTTTTGGGGCGTGTTTGGTTGCCTCCAGTGAATAGTGCATGTATTTCAGCCACATCTCACTAGAGCCTGGTTGAGCAAAAACAGGCAACAAACCAACATCTGCATGTTGTTTGGTTGCATTGCATCGGTGGCCACTTTAGGCCAGGCTGTTTGGTTGCCTGCATTTGTGCTTAAGGGGTGAGCAGATGCAAACCACAACTGTTTGGCTGCATGCACGTTTGTGTTCTGGTCACCCCATTCAAATGTGGTGGCCTTACCATCACATTAGGCACAACAACAGGTAGAGCACTACAAAACAGCACAGAGACTAGCAGCTAAACAAGGTAACAGCAGATAAACAAGCAATTAAACAGTAGATAAGAGCAGATAAACATCAACTAAACATCACATTTGCTAAACAGACTTAAGTTTAACGCCAGCAGGGGCATCACATGCCCCCTGCTTCACCACATGGTGCTTAACCTTGGACAAAATATTAACAGTTCACGCCAAGTTCTCTAATCACCGATGTAGCAAACTAACTACGAGTTCATGGAAACTACTTCAAAAGGTAACTTCAGGGTCACCGATGCACTTGTGCCTGCTGCAACGAACCCTGCACCCGATGGAGCTGTCGTGGTTGTAGATTTGCACTTTGAGGCCTAGGCCGGAGATGCGCAGCACGGCGAGGTCGCTAGGGACGATCCTGTGGCGACGACAGAAGTAGTGCCAGCCCCGGCCAAGCACCATCTGCCCCTCGAAGGTCTGAACATGCACTCAGAATTTGCACCACTTGTTTGCATACAGCCTGACGACACGCTTGATCTTGAGCACGAGCCACTGCCTCATTACCTCCTGGAACTTGGGAGGGATGATGAGCATGGCCAGATCCTCCTCGTTAATGATTTGCACGTAAGCGAAGCGGCTCTCGGGACCCCTCCTCGTGGCCGGTCCTAGGAGCTCGTCCCCTTGAACGTGGCTGGCTCAGGAAGGCGACCCTGCCAGGAAGGTACACCCTCCTGAGCTAGTTGCTCGTGGGGATGAAGTCCACGGTGGCCTCGGCGCTAGCGACGACATGGACTCCTCCATCGGCCCTGTCCCACTCCGTCTTCATCACCTTGTTAGGTAAGATGACATGGATTAGTAACAGGGCATTGGCAGCATGCTACAATGCCTAAAGTAGCAAACACATTGGTCCTACCTACCATGAAACATGCACGTAAACCTAGCATGCACATTTGTACTAGAACCCTAAGCAGGAACATCAATATAGATAGCATGCCCATGAACCCTAAGCATGAACATGAATAGCACACCAATCTAGATAACATGCACATGAACAAGTAGGAGGAACATCAAAGACAGCAACAATATGGCTAGCATCATGAACTAATTGTTGCACATGAGCACTAATGGTGAACATCAAACACAATCTACCATGGCCATGAATAGATTGTACATCATGAGCACTAAGCACACACCAATCTTGCATGCCTATGAACTAGTAGGCATGAACATCAATCAAAAAATCTATCTACCATGCCCAAGAACACCTTCTACATCATCAGCACTAAGCACAATCCAATCTAGCATGCCTATGAACACGATACTAGGCATGCACATGAAACACAGAACAAGCAAGAACACTACCCCGGAGGCTCGGAGGCTACACCCAATGGATGCACTTGCGCGTCCCCATTGGAAAAACGACGTGCCGGTTGCAGGCCCGCCGCCAGCTGCCACCGGCACCCTCAACGCCACCGTCTGCTCCAACAACAGCGAAGACCCTATGCCCGACTCTTCGAGTCACTCGGAAGCTCGGAGGCTACACCCAGCGGATGCGCTGGCGCGCCCCCACTGGAAGCAAGCCACGCCGGATGTCATCAACGACCTCTGCTACAACAACAACGAAAACCCTCCGCCCGACTCTCCAAGTCGCCCGGAGGCTCGGAGGCTACTGTCAGGGGGATGATCTATGGGTAGGCGCTGTTACAGTATATGTGGATTGCACTAGCCCTTTCCATCAGTTCGGACTTTTGGTTGCGTTGGCTAGTGCATGAAGCTTAACATGGTGTCGGAGCTAAGATCTTGAGTTCAAGTCCTGGCTTTGGCAATTTATTAAAAATTGCTGGTAGCCCCCCTTTGTGTCCATGTAGAGGCCTCTTGAGTCATACGTGAGTTTCACGCGCCGTCGCTCTCCCGCCCACACGTGTTGACTTGTCTTCCCCGTCACACGTGAGAGGGTGTTATAGTATATGTGGATTGCACTAGCCCTTTCCATTAGCTTGGACTTTTGGTTGCGCTGGCTAGTGCATGAAGCTTAACAGACTCAAGGAGACAAAACATCATTTTAAAACTTTGCCAGGGGAGTGACCCCTGGCTGGCTGGAACCTGGCCGGGTTGAGCCGTCCGACTGGAGCCCTGGTCTGGTTGAGCTTGGCCGGGTTGAGCCTGGCTGGGTGGAGTCCGTCCAGGTGGAGCCCATCCGGCTGGGGATCAACCACAGCTCTAGGAGCAACTCTGTACTACAATATACACCGTATATACATCAGACATGCAGGATTAGGGGTGTTACCTCCCTGTGAGGCCCCGAACCTGGGTAAGCCGTTGTGAGTTGTTGCCCAATCCCGTCCCGGATCTCCACTGTGGTCTTGCTTACCCCCACTTTTAGCCATCTTTTGACATCTACTGTGAGAATACCACGACAATCTCTACTTTGCTTTTCCTGCTCTTAGATGCTTGCAGTGGTTCTTCTTGTTAGCTTTCCAGTTAGCCCTGTTGTACCAGTTTGGCCATTGTGGTTTGTAAGGGTGTTATAATTTTTGGCTGGTTGATGGCTTTGTAGACGGGCTCATCTAGAGGCCTTTATCTAAAAAACGAATAATTCAATTCCGAATATTTGTGTGCACCATGACTACACTGTAGTGGGAAGGATCAGAACGGACAGATCACTCTAGCCCATACTATATGCGTTCGGTTGAAGAAATGCAATGCCCCGTTTGGATTAGCGTTTCAACTCGTTTCTGGCCGGTTTAGGATACAGAGCCCCTCCCGGCGTTTTCATTCCAGGCAGGAATCAAGAGGTGGCCTGTAATTTACACTTATAAAATAAATACAGATGTAAAGATTTACACCCATTCCAAGCAGGGCCCAAGCTGTAGAAGATTCCATTGTGACGATTTAATCACCAGAGCCCGCTCTTACCTCTATGGCCCCAGCAGGTCAGTGGGCTGCTGCCATATGCATGCCTGTGCACATGAGCAGAGCCCATCAGGCCAGCGCGAATGCCTAGACATTGACTTAGGCAAGACGGACTTGTCTACGATATAATGAGCTTGATCATGATCTTAGCCAGTTTTCTCCAAATCTCAAAAAATAAAATAAAAACTAGGTTTTCTCCAGATCACTATTTCACCTTAGTAATTAAAAGTGGTATGTTAATTATGTGCACTTACCAACTTCCCATGTCGGGTAGAAGATGGATTTGTGTATGATGAACTGTTGACTATGAACATGGTTAGCGGTGAATACACAAGTTGGTGATTTCTTTTTATCTTTAATAGCATACGCTTCCAGCGGAATTTTTTCAGGAAAAGAGAAACATACTATATGTTGTTTCATGGTCTTGGGCTCTTGGCAAGTTTTATTCAAATCATGGCATTTTTACCTTAATAATTCAAATTATTATGCGCACTTGTCATGACAATGAAGATGGAATTGTGTATTAAAATGAGCTCGGTTAGGGTCTTGCTAATTTTATCCAGATCATATGCCATTTCATTATCTTAATTATTAAAAGCAATGTGTTATGTGCACACTGGCCATGTGGGGAGAAGGTGGGTTTGTGTATGAGCATGGTTAGGGGTCAATACATATTTCGGTGATTTCTTTTCATCTTTACTAGCATGCGCTTGCAGCGGACAAAATTCAGGAAAAGAGAAACATATTACATGTTGTTTCGAACTCGGAGTCCAAGTTCTATTCAGATCATGCTGTTTTCACCTTAATAATTCAAATTTATTTATTATTTACACTTGCCATGCGTGGATGAAGATGGGTTTGTGTATGGCAATGAGCTTTGTCAGGGTCTTAGCTAATTTTATCCAGACCATGCCATTTCACCTTAATTATTTTAAGTTATACTCCCTCCGTTCCTAAATATAAGTCTTTCTAGAGATTTTACTTTGGTCTACATAGGATGTATATAGACGTAGTTCAAAGTGTAGACTCACTCAATTTGCTTCGTGTGTAGTCTCTTATTGGAACTTCTAAAAAGACTTATATTTAGGAACAAAGGGAGTATATTTTGTGCATTTGCCAACTTGACATGCCGCGAGAAGATGGATTGTGTATGACCTATTCACAATGAGATAGGTCAGGTGTCAATATATAAGTTGGCGATTTAATTTTATGTTCAGTTTCGAAAAATTGAGGAGAGGAGACATATACATTTTGTCCTTTAGCTGAGAATCTTAGCTAGTTTCATTCAGATTCCACCTCTGATGATTTAATTACTAGGGCCCACTCTCATCTCAATGGTCCCAGCAGGTCAGTGGGCTGCTGCTATATGCCTCAGTCGTGCACAGGAGCAAATTCTTAAACAATGACGTAGATGAAGTCTTGTTTTAGGTTTAGGTCCTCTCGTTGAAGCACCACCCGGCCATCAGGCCAGCGCAAATGCTCAAAAAGAAAGGCCAGCGCAAATGCTTGGACATTGACTTGCATACAGTTTCTGTTTTAAGTTCAGGTCTCCTCCTTGAACTGCGCCCCCACCCCATCTTCATTTTCCACAGATCTGCTCCGTCCCTGTGCTTTGCTTCACCATGGAACAAATTGATAGAGTGAGAAATGCGACCAGGCAGCCAAGGGATTCGCCTCAAGCTCCGCCGGGCAGCTGGCGAGGATCGAGGGCCTGGTGACTGTGGGCTGCATCCTCGTCGGCATCCTTGTCGTGTCCAACTCGAGGCGACGCCATGACGGCCGTTCCTTGGCCAGGCTTGTCGTCTGGGGCGCCTTCATGTTCAACTTCCCGGTGATCTCCTACACCATCGGCCTGATGCAGTCGTCGTCCATCCGGAACGAGCTCTTCGTCGTGTGGGCCTGCTTCCTCCTCCTCCTCCTCGGCAGCGCTGACACCATGACGGCGTTTAGCTTCAACGACAGCAGCCAGCAGACAAGATCCATGATGAACCAGGCCCTGCACGTCGTCTACCTGCTGTTTCTCATACTCTACTACAAAGGTCAGCTCCGTGGCAGCTTCCTCATCAGTTTGTTTCTGCTCTGGGGCTTAAGTGTTGTAAGGCTAGGCCTGAGGGGTAAGGCCTACCGGTCAACGTGCCGGTCCCGTGGGCTCATCAGGGAAAACCAAGTCGTGTTCGAGTACATGAAGTATGAACCACTGAACAGTGCTGGTATCCAAGGTGGTACCTGCAATGCAGAAACCATGGAGGGGTACATCTACCTTGTGGACGGCAAGGAAGTGAAGGAGGTGCAGGATGGGGAAGAGGTCATACGCGTGGCTTACCGCGTGCCGGAAACAGTGGTGGACGTCCCCGGAACGGAGACGGTGGGCGTCGCGGGAGCCGAAACCGAAACGGGGCCCGTTGCCAGATTAAGGGTGGATGCCGAAAAAACGGTAGACATCGCAAGAATCTGGCAATGCAAAGGGAAGTTACTGCAATGTACTAGCAGCAGCGATCAAGGCGCTTCGAGGTGGAGGGACTTGTGCCTCTCCTTTGCTCTCTTCAGGATTCTCAGGCTAAGGTTTGCAGCTGATCATGTTGGCTCTATAAGCTTCCCCTTTCAGGAGGACAAGTGTCGAGATTTCGTTGTCAAAGGGCTCCTCTCGGATGATAAAGATCTCGACAGAGCATTCCGGGTAGTCGAGGCAGAGCTCGGCTTCCTCTTTGATTTCTTTTATGCTCGGTACCCGTCCATCAAAGACACCCTAGCTCCCGATTTGATAGTGTATGCTGCGATCCTTGCAACCAGCATATTTACTCTCTTCTCCCCGGACCTCCTCAAGTACCAGCCTACAGGGGTCAATGCAAACATCTTTATCCATGGCTTCAATCTTGATCTTCTCGTCACTCGTTTGGTCATCGTGTGGTACATACTTCTTGAGTCATACCAGTTCCTTTCTTTGTTCATCTTCTCCGACTGGCACAAGGTGAAGATGCTGTGCCGGTATGTGCGGAAGGAGTCATGGCATAAGGCTCTCATTGAGATCCCACTCAAGGTCCTCTGCTATTTCACCTTCTCAAAGTACTGGAAGGGAAGCATCGGTCAGTACTTCATCCTCGACAACGCCCATCCTCACCCGGTCAAGTCCTTCCTATCATGGATATCACTCGAGGCCCTGGACTCATCACTGATGACTAAATCCATCAGCTTGCCACTGGAAGTGAGGGAAGCTGTCCTCCGCCAACTCAAGGCCATCGAGGGCAACATCACTGACGGAAGGTTGTGGCTATATGGGAAGGGTATCGTCGACCTGGATCTTGATCGCGAGTGCTTGCTTGGCCACACGTATGCCCGCTACATCATGACATGGCACATAGCCACAAGCATCTGCAGCTACGGCCTAAACTTGCCGAGCAAGGACAATGGCAGCAAAGAGGTGGCAGAGCTCACCAGCGAAGAGGCGGCAGAGCTCGTCAAGAACCATGCGCTCGCCACTAAGCTGTCCGGGTACTGTGCATATCTGATGGCCTTCAAACCGGATCTGGTTCCGGGCAGCACTTACACGAGCTTGTCAATGGCCCGCGGCACGCTGCACAACGCCCGTAAGTACCTTGCCGGGTGCAAGTCCAACGAGGAGAAGTACCTTAAACTGATCGAGTTAGGGAGCTCAGGTTCCACAGACCACGATGTCCGCTTTCTGTCCGAGGGGGCAAGGATCGCTGCTTACCTCGTTGACAGCCGCAGGATTGCAAACAACAAGGAACGATGGAGGGTGCTCGCCACCTTCTGGGCGAACATGATGCTGTGGATCGGCTCATCGGACAGAGCAGAGGCACATGCCACCAGGATGGCAACCGGCGGGGAGTTCATAACACTCATATGGGCTCTGCTCACACATGCCCACGTAGTAGACAAGCTTCAGGAGGATGGTGGTGCCCCAGGATTGCATATGCAGGAGCTTCCTCCTCAAACAGGGGCGCAGGGCTCCTGATCTTGTTGCTTCTTTCTCCGATCCGTTTCCCAGAGTTTGTTTATCTTGCTACATGACGAAGTGCTGTTTCATTCCATGAGTTAGCTATGCATTTGGTTGGTGAGAAGTGATTTATTTGTGTAATTCTCTTTGTTACTATGCTACTCTTAAATTGTCAGTGTGTATGTATTATATGGAACAATTATGTGTAACAATAATTAATCGGACGTATGTATTGATTGGTAAGCATGTTTTAGTGATTGATGTATAGCGTGTGTTGGATGATCGTGTTGCTGATGGACTCATATTGAGACGCTGCTGGAGTTGTTGCATTATACTCCGTATGTTCCATCAATTGTTCTCTTGTAGCTTTTTTTTTCTTGAGAAGATGGTCTCGTGTAGCTAGTGTTAATGCAAGACCTCTGAAGCTAAGATCACCCTGATTCTCAATATGTTTTCTTTAGAACTTGATTCTCATTATGTGTAGTAGCTCCATTTGGCTGCCAAGCAATTGTACACAATTGTAGCGTTTCTCTGCCTACTTGGGCCTTTTCGTGTCTGAGGCAACAGCTGTACTCTAGGCAAAGAGTTGGGCCTTGTGAAGAGAAGGAGAAAAATGTGCGTCGTGATGTGTTTTTTTTTATTATTATTGCGGAGGATTGTGTGTTTGCTGTTGCATTCCCTGTTCTTTGTTTTTTTGGGGGGAAGCATTCCCTGTTCTTTGGTTGCTACTGCTATAGGCTTTTGTTTTATCTGCAAAAAAAAGTGCTATAGGCTTTCGATTTAGGTTTTAAGAAGAGATCAGAGACAAAAATCCATCAACAAAATTGGTCCAACGACGGTCAATCACAAAAGTGTTGTGCTTCTTATAGGTTAGTACGACAATGCCTGTGCGTTGCAATGTGACATGAATATTCTAGTACACTAGCTTTTGATTTATCTGTCCATATTTATCAAATCCTGTCTATGATTTATCATATATTTTGAGAAGAAATTTGATAAATAAATTAAAATAGAATTGATTCAGAAGGTAAGTAAATTAAGGCGATTGATTATCATAAAGGAAAGGTTTGGACGAAGGGTGATAAAAGAAAAATTGAAGCATAAAACCTTACATTCTTGTGTTTCTTGGCGCAAAGCGCCATCTTGTCCTTCTACTAATGTTGTAGGATAGCTCACAATCATAGAACAATAGCGATACTTGTATATGTGAGATAGCTCACAATCATAGAGCTATCTCACATATATAGACCAAAAATGATTTGACAATGCCGAAGGCCAAATCATTTTGATGTAACCATATATAGACCAAAAACCGCTACAGCGCCAGACAAAAATAAGCAAGTGAAGACCTTTTAACACTCCATAGACAAGGCCTGGAGGTACGTGGCAATTTATGCAGAGGAGTAATAGCGAGCGTAAAATAAACAGAACTAAGCAACTCGCGCCATAGGGCAACCAAAAAGTAGACATTGAATGGTATCTTGTTCTAAACAAAATGAACATCTCATATCCCCACTTCAATTTCACTTAGATAAATCATCTTCAGAAACTTCCAATCTATTCATCTTCAAATATGGCACAAAGAACAAGAGTGATAATAAAAATTACAGCCATGTCTTGGACCACCTAGCGACGACTACAATGACCGAAGCGAGCCGAAGGCGCGCCGCCGTCATCGCTTCTCCCTTACCGGAGCCGGACAAACCTTGTCATACTAAATAGTTGGAAAGTCGTGGTGCTAAGACCCCATAGGACCCGCACATCAAAGCAGCAACCATCACTGATGAAGAATGTCGTAGATCAAAAGAATCAAACATGTAAACACCCAAACGAAGACCGGATCCAAACAGATCCGTCAAAGACCAGCACCGACCGAATCTCGTAAGGTCCGACGAAGACACACCTCGACACGCCCTCTGACGTTGCTAGATGCACTATCGGGATAGGGATAGAGCGTGTGAGACATTATTTCTATTAAAGGACATCGTCACCGCCACACAGCCCCAACAATGAACGAGAACGGGCTACCTCCAAAAAGAGAACGGTATATGCGTCTCCAAGCACAATACCATGCCAATCAGTCAAATTTGCCCGACTTATGTTTGACGATGGAACTCCACACTAGGGGTGGACTCCACGCTAGGGGGGGGGGGACTTAGAACGAAGGTCACCCGATTGGGGTTCTTTTCACCTTTCCCTCACGGTACTTGTACGCTATCGGTCATTGAGGAATACTTAGGCTTAGAGGGTGGTCCCCCATTCTAGCGTAAAAGCGATCATCATTCGAACACGCCGCGTTTTACTGGGAAGGATCGAACCATGGGAACGAATGAACAGGGCTATCACCTTCTTTGGCCGGATCTTCCAATCTTTTTAGAAAACCAGTTCACTGCGCGCCCCACCCCGTCATCAGTCCTGTGTTACCTATACTTGTGCCCCAAAACGGTTGCTGACTTTGTACAACTCCGTAGGGCGCGCTATGGTACTCTGAACAACACTGAACAGTCGAGGATGCAAAGAATGTTTGGACAAAATTTCTGTGCTTATTTTCCGATTAAAGACGAAGCTTCCAGCTCCCAGATTAATTTCCATGAAATTGATAAACAACCATTTTCAACAGTCTTACATGTCTGCCAACCTGAATACTTATTTAATTGCAAAGCACGGAAAACACTTCAACATTCATGATAAACCCGAATCTGCAATCATGCCATTGCAATTGTTTTTATCTTAGCTATAGGACACCAATGAATAAAAAGGAGCCGTGTTGGGGCCAGAAAAAGAAATATGAGAACATTGGGCACCTAGTGACGGAGACAAAGACCAGGCAATATGGCCGCGATGCAAGCGCAAAATGGTTTCAATTCTTGTATGGGTTCTTTAAAATAAAATTAAATTCACCAACGCTGTGTTGTGACTAGGAGAGTGAAGTACATTGTAAAAAAAATCGTCCATCACTTCCGTAAAAAAGGAAATAAAATATCGTCCATCAGCCATGTTTACATTAGCTCGGTGCCTACTTCTGCTGACTGCTGAGAATCCTGGAGTTGTCTGCCTCGTAATTTAGGTTGACTAGCACAAATGCCCGTGCTTTACAACGGAAGATATTGTTACACGTATCATACCTCATTAATTTCTGTCCGTCCTCGTCTCCTCTTTTCAGTCCGCCACACATCCGTGCGTTGCAATAGGATAAAAATTACTCGCACTCCTATGGTTTTTGTAAAATAAAAATGTGTTGCAACAAGATAAAAATTACTCGCACTTCTATGATTTTTGTAAAATAAAAATGCGTTGCAACGGGGATAAAATTTCCAGGCACTCCATATGGCCAAGTGATTCTTTTTTAAATATCCCAGTAGGTTCGACATTTCTTCTTATGTGCTCCATATAATTCCGTTTTAATTAGAGGGTTTCTCTTCCTTATTTCTCTGACTGAGACTGGTGAATGACTTTCTTTTTTCCACTCCACATCCATGGGGTGTGCCTTTCCGACCATAATTTTTAAGGCACTTTACATCAAGGTTCATACGTAAACAGCTGGGAACTTCTTTTCTCATCATAGTCGCATTTGTATTTTCAATACCATGTCTTTTATATGCTTCCTTGCTTGTGCACCTTAATCAAATTAAATATGTCGCTTGCTCTTTTAAGCTAATGTTGCTCCACTATATATTTATTGGAAATTGCTAAATATTATTCAATCTCGTCATTGCTTGTAGCCACAACTCGCGCTTCCTCAATCCATACATGGTGTCATGCTTGCCTTGTACATCATTTTTTACATGCAATTTTTTTCTATTCTTTTAAATCCTACTCCCTCCGTTCTTAAATATAAGTCTTTGTAGAGATTTCACTATGGACCACATAAGGATCTATGTAGATGCATTTTAGAGTGTAGATTCACTCATTTGCTCTGTATGTAGTCCATAATGAAATCTCTATAAAGACTTATATTTAGGAACGGAGGGAGTACAACATTAGATCATGCACGTCATCCTCGTGGCTATTTGGTTTGTTTTGACATACATGTGTTTTTATATCATCGAGCCCATGCATATTAATAAATCTAAGAAACTGATACATGTTGGTCATGTTACTTTCACGCTGGTCCTTCGTCACAATACAATAAATTCTAAAGAATGGAAATCAAATGATCTATTTTTTAGTTATTTATTCCACATTAGCGTGTTTTTATTAAAAGATGAACTATCAATGTGTACATTAATTATTTTTTGCAGGGGGAATGTGTATATTAAATTTATTATTGAAAGTTTTCTAGCTGTGTATTCCACATAGAGTTTCTTATGTATAAATGGAAATGCACTCTTTATCCACCAAGTAAGAGTCTTGTCGAAAACAAATATTGAAACTGTTGTTTTAAAGAAAACTATATGGAAAGTCTTCATTGTATAAATTTGTGAAGACTTTTAATCTGGGTCATCCTGACGTAATTAGATATCTCTTTTCTTGATCCATAAACATCTTCTACAAATTTCCCTTGTAGTCCATCATGAGAATACTATTTTTGGACTACGCCTATAATACATGTAACCGTGTTACACCATGTGAGGTCTTGTGTGACACTGTTTTATGTGCTTGTTGTTTGTCCCTGATACGTCTCCAACGTATCTATAATTTTTTATTGTTTCATGCTATTATATTATCTGTTTTGATTGTTTTATATGTATTAATATACTATTTTATATTATTCTTGGGACTAACTATTAACCTGGAGCCTAGTGTCAGTTTCTGTTTTTCCTTGTTTTTGAGTTTTACAGAAAAGGAATATGAAACGGAGTCCAAACGAGCTGAAAATTTACGGTGATTTTTTACGGACCAGAAGAGACCCACGGAGTATCGGAGTTGGGCCAGAAGAGTCCCGAGGCTACCACAAGCCTAGAAGGTGCCCCCCCTCAGGGGTGTTGGGGAACGCAGTGATTTAAAAAAAAATCTACGATCACGCAAGATCTATCTAGGTGATGCATAGCAACGAGGGGAGAGTGTGTCCACGTACC